TGCTAAGGAGACATGCATGTTAAGTAAGAGATAACCAGAAGAGCTTAGCCTTCTCTGCTATTGCTTTTTAAAAACTCATTTTTTTAAAAAAATTCTTCTTGGGCAGCATTCTTTGGCTTAGAAAATAAATCCACAGTGTCCTCAATCATTAAATTGCTTACTGCACAGAAACCTATTACTTTACCGGTCCTGCCTGATAGTCAGACATTGGGAACTTGTTGCCTTTGGCATGTTGTTGGACTCTGATTCCCATTAGCTGCAGCCAGCATGGCCAGTGGTGAAGGATGATGGGAGTTGTAGTCTGGAAAGCAAGCAGAGGTTTCCCACCCTCCCATAGTTCATGGGAAATCAAAGCTCAAACACTAAAGGATAACTGGTGCAGGTTTCTTCCAGGGCCGGCCCAACCATGAGGCAAGGACTGCCTTAGGTGGCAGGATTTGCAGGGACAGCAGATCCCAATGTAAATCTGTAGCACCCTGCTTGTGGTTAACGCTTAGCTGGAATGAAATATTCAACGCAGCAATAGAGAAATTAAAATAATAATTTATTTGTCAGACAAATAAATGATAGGCACAGTGGTATATGGTTACCAAAGCTCTGCCCCCTCCAGCCCTGATGGCCAGCACTTATATTTCCTCAGCCCAGCCCCCTTGCTCCTCCTTTGGCTGCCTCTGTCCAATCAGCCTGGTTGAAATTCCTATTGGCTGTTTGCTAGAACCAATCATAAAAGATACACCCATTTCCTATTACCTTTTATGGGAGACAAAAAGCTATATTTCCTTCTATCCATAAATGGCAGACAAGTAGCCATATATCTTACATTTGCCTCGACCAGGCACCTTAATCACCAGATCATCTTTGCCCTATTGCCCTCTTGCCCTTTCACTCCAAAACAGATGGCTAAAACAGATGGCTCATGGTTTTAATTTTTATCTTAAACAGAGATCTTGGGTTCACCTTCTCACACACCATCAATGAAATAAGAATCTAACATAAGAATCTAACATTTCTTACTTTCTAAATCCTTTGCATAATTACATTAAGCCAACAAATCTCATACATAACATAGATAGCTTTTTAGAAGAAAAGGCCTTTGCAAAGTAAAAAAGGAACTCAGTAAAAACAGCTTCAAAAGAAGCCTCTTCAGTTTACACCCCCCTTTCCCAGCCAGCTGCTTTTCCCATTAGCGCTTCCCAAAATTTATTGCCCTTTAACTCTCTCAGTATACCTTAAAGCTTAGGAAAATATGGCTAGAGTCTGATGGGAGGCATATGGTATTATTTTCTGTTAAACAATAAATCTTACTATTTACCAACTCTTGATTAGTGTTTTTGCAGCTTGATTGTATTCTGTAATATGTAGGGTCAGTGTAACATTTGCTCCCAGCCTGTAATTCCCTTTTACAACTTTGAGAAACTTGTCTCCTGCTACTGCTATAAATCAGGGGGGGGGCTTGTTCAGGAGAGCAGGAAGATAAACAACTGCCAAAGTACTTAGCCAGCTGGTTTCTGCCTGGCATGAAACATACAAACATTTGCAAATATATCTTTAAGCTCATTTTAAAATACAGGCCTTGATCAGATGCCTCAGATCTTTATCCCCCCCTCCTTATTCCTGATGTAGATTTTCACTCAACCCTTATTCCCCGGTGGGGAGGACGCCCCGTTTTGTCATCACGCACCAGAGTGTCTTGGGCCAGCCCTAGCTTAAAGCTAAGAAGGTGTTGGTTTGCTGAATCTGGACTGAATTCAGCCTTCTCACAAGTGTGGGTAACTTAACTGGTTCATTAACAGGTTTTTATTCCATTCCAGGGCAGGACTCTTTAATATATGCCTGCCACAGCTTTTCTCCTAGGTCAGAGGTTTCTAAACTCTGGTCCATGGACCACCCATGGTCTGTGAGCTTCATGCAGGTGGTCTAGGACATATGTATGGATTTGGGGTTGAAGGTGTGAGGCGATGCATCCACTACATTAAACATCCTTATTGATTTTTAACTATTTTTATTACATATTTCATTTCTTATGTTCTATTTTATTGCATTACATTTTGAAATCTATGCAATTTAAATTGCAATGCAATAAAATAAAATGCATAAGAAACAAACAAAGCAAAAAGGTACAGTTAAAAATCATACGGAAAACACAATACGGAAAACACAATACAATTGTTACAGCAGGTCAGGTGGAAACATCATTAAGTGGTCTGCCAAGAACCTGAGCAATTTTCCAGTGTGCTATGGAACAAAAAGTATGGGAAACATTGAGATAGGCCCTGGGAAGACTGTGAAAGAGGAGGTATTTGGGAATGGTGCACAGTATTTCACTGTGCCTGAGTGTATGTGGCCAATACACACAATACACATGGCCAATTTCCCATAAACCCTATATATATGTATTGTCCTAAATTCTGTGGAAGCAGAGATACATACATGTAGCCTTTTGGAGTAACATCAACCTCTTTTTTTCTTACAGATAATTACTGCAGCTTGAACACCTCTTTGCATTTCTGCTTCAAGATCAGAGAAAAGAATCCCATGGAAACATGTTACAGAACTGGGAGAGCCAAGCAAATAAGGAACAGAATGAATGGAAAACAGAGCAGTGCTGTTTCTATGGTAGTTTAAGAGATTAACCCCTAGAACATTGCTATGCACTCCTCACTTTCACAAGCAACAAGGTTTCCTTTGGCTTACAGTGGACTGGAGATTTAAGTGCCTAGGTAATATTTGCTTCTTTTTTTAAAAAAAATATATACAAGGAGGCTGTAAGTAGAAGCAAATGACACTCTTCCACGGCAGCCAATCTGCTCTCATTTGCTTTAACTTTGTCAATTTACACCTGTCTTCAAAACTGCCTGCATAATCTGCTGAGCACTAGTCACAACCCTCTGTATTTGCAGGAAACATCCATAGCCATGAAGCTTAAGGAACACTTAATTTCTTCCTCCAGGGTCACAAAAGTTTAAACATAAGCATTGTGATAATGTAGACCAGGTCACAGTAACCAGGACAGCAAACATACCAATGTGTTGCTACTTGCTTGCATTTCAGTGGCAAGATCAGAGCACTATTGCATCAGGCCCTGTCTAAAATGACACATAATTCGCACCTTGTGGAGACTGGAACCTGAATGTAGAAAATCTCCATTTTCCCAGGGAGTGTAAGGAGTTCCTGAAATGGGTCAGGGAAGACCCAGCTGCGGAAAAAGCAAATTCCTTGCCAGGGATCATTAAGAAAGTAACTGAAAACTAGTGATATCATAATGACTTTTAAGTGTATTATGTGACCCCATTTGGAATACTATACAGTTGTGGTTGCTTCACCTCTTAAAAAGGATAGTGTGGAGTTTGAAAAGTTTCAGAAGAGGAAAACCAAAATGATCAAGGGCGGGAGAACTCCCATATGAGGAAAAGGTTTGCATTTGGCATTTGAGCTCCTGGGCCGAATGTTGGAAGATTCAGGACAAAAGAAAGTACTGTCGTACCTCGGAAGCCGAACAGAATCCATTCCAGAAGTCTGTTTGACTTCCAAAACGTTTCAAAACCAAGGCACGGCTTCTGACTGGCTGCAGGAAGCTCCTGCAGCCAATCGGAACCCGCAGAACCCACATCGGACGTTCAGGTTCCAAAGAATGTTCACAAACCGTAACACTCACTCCTGGGTTTGCATCGTTCAGGAGCCAAAACGTTCGAGTCGCAAGGCGCTCGACTTCTGAGGTACGACTGTACTTCATACAGTGCGCAGTATAACTGCACTCCCCACACTTATGCCTCCTGGCAACTGATATTCAGAGGGCTACTGACTCCAATACTGGAGATAGGATGCAGCCATAATGACTCGCAGCCATTGATAGCCTTATCCTTCATCACTTTATCTAATCCCCTATAAATTTATCTAATCTCCTTTTAAAGTCCAAGTTGGTGGCCATGACTACATCTTGTGCTACTGAAGTCCAAAGTTTAATTAAGTGCTGTGTGAAGAAATACTTTCTTTCATCCTTTCTTAATTCTTCCAACATTCAGGTTATCTGGATGACGCCTGGGCTTCTAGCATTATCCCTAAAGGAGAAAAAACAAGTGCTGTATTTTTTCTCAACCTCATGCACAATATTACACATTCCCTCTCCTTATTTGCTTTATTTCTAGACTGAAAAGGAATTGTTCCAGGCGCCTAATAATAACAATAACAATTTATTTATACCCTGCCCATCTGGCTGGGTTGATCATTGTGGCTGCTGTTTTCTGAACCTTTTAAAAGTTCTACAATATCCCTCTTGGGGTGCTGCGATCAGAACTGTACACAGTATTATTCCAAGTGTGTTCACGCTGTTGGAGAAATTTAAACGGAAGTTCCTAGAGTGGAGGTTACTGACACAGAAACCCAAAAGGAAAGGAAGCAGGCTTCAAGTCAAAAGATAGGCCTTTACTGAAATAAAAATGTGCACAGGCACAGGCTCAAAAATAAGGAGGAGGCTGCTAAGATCCACATCCAAAGCAATGTTTTTTATACACTTCCAGATCAAACGCGTCATTTCATTTCACCGAAGGATCACACAACAACCTTATGTCAAATAGTTGCAACCCACGCCATAGATCCGTAAATGGAAAGCTTGCTAATTATCCATCCTGCGGATCAAAACTGGGTTGCTGTTTTCCTCTGTCCTGCTGCTCAGTTGGCAAGCGCAGCAGGCTCGCCGCTTCTGCGATGCTCACGCGGGGGAACGTTTCTAGCCCAAAGCAAGCCGTTTGCATTGCCGGCTTCTGGCCAGGATTTGCAAGCGAGCGCTTTAACCCTCCACCCCACCTCGCTCCCCTCCTAAGTGTCATGCAAATATCAGGAAAGAGAGGAGAAAACCGCCCAGCGCGCAAATGTAAGCGCTGCTACTATTGGCCCGTGCAGAGGGCGGGGAGGACCGGTGTCATTTCGCCGCGTTGCATCACGCGCCCCCGGACCTCGAGCAAAGGAGCCCGCCCCCTCCGAGGCGAATTTGGCCGGCAAAGGGAGGGAAGGAAGGAGGCTCGCTCGGCTCCGCGGCTTCGATTGGCTCCGGGAGGCGGGCTGGGCCCTGCCTCGATAGGGTAGGAGAGCTGTCACACTCCTCGCCGGATCGAGTTTCTCGCCTTTTACGCACGGCCATTGCGCGCCGGGAAATATTTGGAGAATTCGCCGGGGAGAAGCGTGTCGACTGCTGCTTGCCGCTGCCTTTCCTCCTCCTCCTCTTTGCACGGGTGGAGTGCTCTGGTCCAGCGGGAGAGGCAGCACCGGCCGCCTTGCTACGCGTCTCCTCGAGGGCAAGCCTTGCCAGGTAACAAGAGAAAGCTCGCGCCTTCGCCAGCTGCTCGCTTGCTTCCCATTCATCTTTCTTGCATTGCTTGCGCTTCACAGGAAGCTATGGGAGGCGGCTGGAAGGTTGCAATTCTCTGCAGCCGCCGCCGCCTCCTCGCGTTGGCGCGCAGAAGGAACGTTTCCAAGCCGCTGTTCGTCCTCTTTTGCTATGCATCTTTCCAGGGCTTTCCGCCGAGGCGTCCTCTTGGTGCTCAGTTTTTGATGTGGACACGCCCTGCTTAAGGAAGAGGATGGGTTTCCCCACTTCCCTTAATTTCTGGGTTTTGTTGCGCGCACGGTTGACAGGTTTGGCTTGCAAGCCTCGACCCATTTTCTCCAGGGTTGTCCCAAATTGCATGTATTCAGATTACTCACCCTGGAGTCGATGGGGTAGGGAGAGGCTGCAGCGAAGCGCTTGCAGGCCGAATTTGAATACAGTACTTGCTTGTGGAAAAGAGCCTGGCTGAACACAGTATATCACAAGCAAATGTGCTTAGGATTTTATCGCTCGACGGCTACAGATGCTGCCGCCTAAAAACGTGGAGCGTTCCTCGATGCTCCAGTTTTAAAGTACCTAGGACGACCCTGTCAGGATCTGACTGAGGGCCGATCCAAGACTAATATTCTGTATCCTTCAGTTGCAAAAAAAGACAATTTTTAATTACATAGCATTTTCAAATGTTCAGGGCCCTTTTGAATCACAGAGCTGTAAGGGACACCCCAGGGTCATCTAGTCCAGCCCCCTCCCCATGCAGTTTCCACAACAACCCTGTGAGGCAAGTCAGCATTATTATTACCCATAGAGAGCTGAGGTCGAGGGAGTGCCTTTGCTTAAATTCACGCCGTCAATACATGGCTGGGGCGAAATTTGAACCGGGTACCTCTTTAGCCACTATGATGATTCAGCTACTCCGGCTGCTGGTTTCCATGGCAGCCGATAGGCAGAGAGATAAATTGCCTTTGAACCTGGACGTTCCATTTTAGTTGTCAGGAGTAATAACTGTTTATAGATTCCCATAAATTTTATCTGCTCATTCCGCCGCCGCCCCCTTACCTGGCCACTAGTTTAAGTTCTTAACTGTAGAGGGTAGCTTGCCATTAGAGACATGTGATCCCGCCCTTCACCTTTCATTCCTCCTTCCTGATTATTATTTTTTAAAGACACATCATTCCCAGTTTGTTGCGCCTTTAAACCCGCAGGCCGCTCCGTTGCGCTTGCCTTAAAGCAAGAAAACGAGATCGTGTTTCTTGCTGGCTTCTCTCCAGGGGAAACATATGTGGGTGGTTCTCTCCCCCCTTTTATTTTGCAACGGGGTTTTTTTTTTTTAAAAAAAAGTATCCCCCACCCCCGCTCCGCCTGCAGTAGAATCGCACGAGGTGGAACTCGCGGCGGCCCTTCCCTCCCGGTCTCGACTTCACAGTCGCGTTTCTCCTTAAGGCGATGTTTGGTGCACACGAGGGTGCCTGTTTCTAGAAGAATCGCCTGGAAGGAAGCCGGTGGCGGCAGCAGTAGCAGCTTCCTCCAGCGCTCTCGGCTGGCTGCGGTGCAAATGGCGCTTGCTTGCCAGGAACTCGAACAGGAAGGCGGGCTGGGCTGGTGCAGACGGAGTTGCGCAACAGCGGCGGCGAAGGTTGGAAACCGCCGGGTTCTAGAACGCGAGCCCGGGGAATTCCAATTTGGAACGCGGATTCAAATTTGGAACGCAGCTGAAGCCGCTGGACGAACGCCTGCTGTTCATCCCGCGGGGGGACGGACGGGAGGAGAGGCGTGGCTCGGCTTTCTTTCTCTCTCTCCTCTCTTTACACGCAAGGAGGCGGTGTCTTCGCTCTGGTGGAAGAGAAAATTTTCCAGCTTGCGTGACGCAAGCGATACGCCCATGGTGCCCTCCTAGTGGTGCAGCAAAATAATAATAATAATAAGTGCTAGCGCATTTGCAAAACTAACCATGGTCCAGGGGATGCGTACAAATTGAATGGGGACCGCGTGTTGAGATGCCTGCATTGGCCTCGATGACCCTGGGGGGGGGGGTTTCTTCCGAATCTGATCCCTTTTGCAATTCGTGGAAACGGAGACACACCCCTGCGCTGACGTCAGGAGTTGTGCCTGCCTCAGTTAGGACCCACTCTCCAATATCTCTCCCCAGAGACCTCTGGAGTTGCTCCTCCTTGTAGTTTATTGACCTGCTTTCTCCTAAATCTGTCAGTAGTGCGAAGGAGAAGTTGCTTCCATATGCCAAGCCCTGGGCAGCTTTGTGGACCCTGCTCAAAGGAAGAGGGCAGATAAATGGCCTGGGAGGGATGATAGTAGTGAAGCCAGCCCTCTCAGGGAATGTGTTGCTGCCCCACCCCTTTGCATTTTATTTAAGGGCCCACCAAAATCTGGAACAAGCTCTGAATCTTTGCTTGAGACCTTTTGTGTAGGGGATCCGAGCACTCAAAGCAGTAATTTGCGGGAAAGTGGATTTCTCCCTTTGTCCATTGCCATTCCAAAGTGTTCTGGATTGACCTTTGAGACCCTGCTTGAAAGTAGTATTAGACAGGGAGGTCTTTTTCCTATGGTGGCTCCATGCTTTTCGAAAGCACCCCCGGGTGCAAGTAGATAAATAGGGACCGCTTACTGGCGGGAAGGTAAACGGCGTTTCCGTGTGCGGCTCTGGCTCGCCAGATGCAGCTTGTCACGCTGGCCACGTGACCCGGAAGTGTCTCCGGACAGCGCTGGCCCCCGGCCTCTTGAGTGAGATGGGCGCACAACCCTAGAGTCTGTCAAGACTGGCCCGTACGGGCAGGGGTACCTTTACCTTTTTTTAAGACCTTGAGGATTCCCGCTTCTCCCCTCCCCCATGATTTTTAGTTGGTATTTATTTTAGTTATTTGGTATTTAACTGCTACTTTTAAAATTCTTTGTTTTGCTGCATTTGCTGCATACTTTCCTGTGCTGATTTAATGTTTTATTGCTGCTATAACCTGCTTAGATGTCTTAGTGTGGTTTTTTCAAATTGCACTTTTATGGCTTGCAAATTGCCCTGCGGGTGAGTTTTGTGTTTTTATATCCTGCGAGTCACCTTGGTTAATCCCGAAAAGTGGCTTGTATAAGAATCTAAACAAATTAAAGTTTATGTCCAAATGCTCAAAGGCAAGCTTCCTCAAACTCAGCCCTCCAGATGTTTTTGGCCTACAACTCCCACAATCTCTAGCTAGCAGGACCCAGTGGTCAGGGATGATGGGAATTGTAGTCACAAAACATCTGGAGGGCAAATTTGAGAAAGCCTGCTCAGAGGTCTCTTCTCTCCACCCTGCCCCATTTGATCCTTGCCAACAACTGGAAGGTAGGTTAGGCTGCAAGAGAGGAACCAATCAAAAGTCATTGAGTGAGCTGGAATGGGAATTTGAACCCAGGACATTATGCGTTTCAGTCGGCATATTTCAGAAAGTGTCAATAAGGTAGATTTGCCTTTAAATGCAAACTGAATCAAATTCCTCCTGCCTCCTTAAGCGGATTGTAATCTCTTGTTCCCAGTTGGCATGGAATGCACCAATCCTGCTTGTTCCATTGCAGGGCCGAGAAAATAAAGTACCCACGAACCAGCATTAGATGTGTTAGTGACTGCTTTGTACAAGTTTGTCTTTGAACACATACACCCATGCAAGCATCACATAGGCAATTGTGACTTGCCAGCCCATAAACCCTGTGCAAGGCATCCTATTACTTGGCTGGTCTTGAATCAAGATCCTGCAGCAGTGACAGCCAGGTAAATCCTTAGAAGTGCATGAGCTGCTTAGCTTTACATGCGAGTATGTTCTTAACTTGGGGCTTAAAGCTGTAAATGGCTTGCAGGATTCAAATTATTGAGAGAATCCGAAAGCCTTTGTAGCCTTTCTGTATCGGGTAACTATGCAGATTATGTGGAAAGCTATGTCTTTAAACAGCTGATGGGGCAAGGGACTTCCAAGGGACGTTATTTTGCACCCCCCCTTCCCAGGAGTGCAGTTTTTCTTACAGCAGTTATCCACACATTTATATACCCTGTAGTCCAGCCTTTTCTCAGCCTTGAGTCCCCCAGATGTTGTTGGACTACAACTCCGATCATCCCATCATAGTGACTGGGAGTGGCCGCCGAGACCACATAACGCTGGTCTTGAAAGACCTACATTGGCTCCTAGTACGTTTCCAAGCACAGTTCAAAGTGTTGGTGTTGACCTTTAAAGCCCTAAATGGCCTCGGCCCAGTATATCTGAAGGAGCGTCTCCACCCCCATCGTTCAGCCCGGACACTTAGTTTCCAGCTCTGAGGGCCTTCTGGCAGTTCCCTCAATGCGAGAAGAGAGGTTACAGGAAACCAGGGAGAGGGCCTTCTTGGTAGTGGCACCCGCCCTTTGGAATGCCCTCCCATCAGATGTCAAAGAGATAAACAACTGTCTGACGTTTAGAAGACATCTGAAGGCAGCTCTGTTTAGGGAAGTTTTTAATGTTTGATGTTTTAGTCATAGTGTGTTTTTAATCTTGGTTGGAAGCCGCCCAGAGTGGCTGGGGAAGCCCAGCCAGATGGGCAGGGTACAGTAAACAATAAATTATTATTATTATTATTATTATTATTATTATTATTATTATTATTATTATCCCTAGCTAGCAGGACCGGCAGTCAGGGATGATGGGAGTTGTAGTCCTCCCAACATTTGGGGCCCAGGATTGAGAAAAGGCTGCTCCTAGTCACTGTGAGGTTTTTTGAAGCTTAGAGGGAGTGATCCAAATTTCTGCACTGTAGAAACCTTCCTGGTTTCAAAGAATTTACATAAGCAATGCCTTGTAGCTTTTGGCTGCACTCTGAAGCAAGGTCATTCCTCTATAATCTTCCCACCTCAGCTTGTGTGAAAAAACTTCCGCTGAACCTGTTTTAACCCTTCAGGCACTGCTGGGTGTTTACACACCTTTGCTGAAACATTCTTCTGAGCAGTAGGTGGAAAATTCCATCACCACCAAGCCAAAATCCCCAGTGGTAGGATCAGTTTCCTCTTGAAATAGGCCAGAACACTTAAAGGTATAATTGTGATTTTTTTGTATTGGCTCTGATCACATTGGTAGGCTTCTGGGACTCAGTTGATTTATTTCCCCTCTGCTACTGATTCCTGTTCCTTGTGTCATCCCTTCCTTTTGCTTGCTCCTAAGCAGCAGACACGGGTGGCGCTGTGCGTTAAACCACAGAGCCTAGGACTTGCTGATCAGAAGGTCGGCGGTTTGAATCCCGCGACGGGGTGAGCTCCCGTTGCTCAGTCCCTGCTCCTGCCAACCTAGCAGTTCGAAAGCACATCAAAGTGCAAGTAGATAAATAGGTACTGCTCTGGTGGGAAGGTAAACGGCGTTTCCGTGTGCTGCTCTGGTTCGCCAGAAGCAGCATAGTCATGCTGGCCGCATGATCTGGAAGCTGTACGCTGGCTCCCTCGGCCAATAAAGCAAGATGAGCGCCGCAACTCCAGAGTCGTCCGCGACTGGACATAATGGTCAGGGGTCCCTTTACCTTTAAACAGCAGATAGGCAAATGTGCTCCTCTAGGAAGGCATAGCCCCCCAATGAAAGTTCCTAAGATGGAGCAACTTCATTTTAAAATTAATATGTTTATATAGGCCACCTTTTCTTCCAGGGACCCGATTCTTGTAGTTGGCGTTCAGCAACATCTGGAGGGGTGGCAAGTTATCTATCCCAACGTTGAAGGCTGCCTAGTGTTTGTATTGGGAATTACAGTGGCTGGGTGGGGGGGGGCGGTGGATGAATGACTGAGTTCATATTTAGATTTTTCTCCAACTGGAAAACTACCTGGGAGACCAGCTCAGATTGCTGCACTACCTGAAGAGGCAGGACTTAGGAAGAAGAAAGGTGGGGTTGCACCTCGTGCTTCTCCTTGGGAACTGTGTAGTCTGGTGACCCGGTGCCATTACAGGTCCAGACCTTTATATAAATAAATGTTGGCACAGCAACAGCGCTGGCTCAGTTACCTCTTGCCCTGTATCCAATGGAGAACAGATCTCCATGCTTACACCTGCAATCATTATGAGTGTGGAGGTTGAGGTTTCTATTACCTTTTCATTCTGCCCTTGTTCAGAGTAGCTGTTCTTTTCCTCACCCCATTTTATTCTTTCACTTACTAACACTGTAATTTAGAAAGTGACTAGCCCCAGGACTACTTATCAAATTTCGGAGGGGGGGGAGGATTTGAATCTGGGTCTTCCTGTGGAGATGACACAGAGTGTTGTAGCATTCTTGAACTAGAAAACACAGGACACCTTTTTTATTATTTAAAAAAGGTGTGTGTTATGTACTGAAGTTCTCACCCTGGGCCAGGAGGGGGATACTGTAGATAGTTATGCAAATAAGGGATCGAAAGTGACATTCAGTGATTGGGTAGTTTTAGAAAATTGTTACAGTTACGTTGTACTGGAGCTCTATATAAGCAGGCTGGCTGAACCCTTCGGTTCAGTTCTGTCCTGGCCTGTGAATAAACAAGAGCTGTTTGAAGAATCGCTGTGTTGTCTGATATGTTCACCCACAACTTAACAGTGTGTGTTGGGGCTGAGGGTGGTATAACGTTGAGTTTCGAACTCGGATCCCTGTGTGAAATTATATTCTCTGAACCATACCGGCTAACTGAAATTGGAAGTCTTGACTGACTGCCACTAGTAGCCAGTGAAGTAGTAGAGTTCAAGGTGTTGTTATTAGTATATAAACCCTTTACCAACTTGGGCTCATTCTGTGGAACTTTGAATTCTACAAGTGTCACATAGTGTTAATTTTGCATTGGTAAGGAGTCATTCTCTTAGCCTGGCAGCACTGTACTTTTGGAACTCCCTGCCTGTTGACATGAAGCAAGCGCCACCGCTGCATTTTACTAGATGCCTGCTGAAAATATTCTGTTTCAGCTGGCCTGTCCAGAAACATAATCTGGTTCAAAGAATCGTATGGAAGGGACCACTAGGGTCATCTCGACCAGCCCCCTGCAATGCAGGAATCTTTTACCCGGTGTGGGGCTTGAACCCATGACCCCAAGGCTACCAGCTGAGCAATTCCAGCAGTCAATATGGTTACAATATGGTTTTATTCTTTTTAGATGAGTTTAATATAGTGGACACTCGGGTTGCAAACGTGATCCATGCGGGATGCATGCTCGCAACCTGCAGCGGTGCATCTGCACATGCACGGGTTGTGATTTGGCCTTCTGCGCATGCACAAAGTGCGATTTAGCGCTTCTGTGCATGCGTGTCCGCCGAAACTTGGAAGTAACCCATTCCGGTATTTCCGAGTTTCGGCAGGTTCATAACCCAAAAAAACGCAACCTGAAGCGTCTGTAACCCGAGATATGACTGTAGTCTTTAGACATTTTAAACAAGTTGTAAGTGTATTCTTGATTGTATTTTTTTAAATCACAGATATATTTGCTGCCCTGGACTCCTTTGGGAAGGAAAGGCAGGATATACATTTAATTAGCCAAAGAAAATTAAGTAAATAAACATAACATCCACCTGTCTTATTCTAACTATAGGTTCAGTGTTCTTGATGTGGACGGAACCTTATTTCAGTGCAAATGCTGGGCGTTTGCAGTCTGATTTCTTTTTGGTGAATGTGAGTTAAACACCAATGAGAATGAAAAGTGCTCAGCTGTGACCGGCCCATGCCTGTTGTGCATTTGACTATCACAACTCACAAGAGCAAACATGCATTTCATTAGCTGGGAGTTGACATTTGATAGGGTGCACGGAAATGAGTTCCCTTTGCTTTCATTCAGCTTTGATTGAAAAGAAAGGAAAGACATGTCTGGCACGCAGGAGTCTTAAAACTGGGTTGTTGAGTCAAGGGACCGACCTGGTCCAGCAAGAAAACTCCTAGCACATTTGCAAAGCTAAGTAGGATCCAGTGCTGTTTCAAGTTGGATAGGGGGCTGTGTGTTGAGGTTGGGATCGAACTAATGGCCCCCAGGCAATGCACTTTCCCCCGGCTGCTAATATGTCCTAACTCCGTAGAAAACAACAACGCAAACTTTCTTTTTTGTTTCCCCTCCCTAGACCAGATCTCTTTATTTTGGAGATATTCCGAGACCCGCTTCCCACGGTTCTCTTCTCCGCCCCAAAATCCGCGGATCCCAAGTTATGTCCACTGCTCTAATTAATCTGGTGAGAAACGGAGGCCACCAGGTGAGGAGGAGAGCGCTGCTGACATCGCGCCTGTTGCAGGACGACAAGCGGGCGGCGGCTATCTGCCCTAGCTCCACCAGCGTACGCCGAACATCTCGCTTCGACTTGGACGGCAGCGGCCGCCCGGCCACGTGGGACTCCTTCGGGATCTGGGACAACCGCATCGATGAGCCCATCCTCCTCCCGCCAAGCATAAAATATGGGAAGCCCATCCCCAAGGTCAGCCTGTCCAAGGTGGGCTGCGCCAGCCACATTGGGAAGCGGAAGGAAAACGAAGACCGCTTTGATTACGCCCAGCTGACCGATGAGGTCCTGTATTTTGCCGTTTACGATGGGCACGGTGGGGTGGCGGTAGCGGACTTCTGCCATAAGCACATGCAGGGATTTATCCAGTGAGTACATGAATTCTCCTTGGGGGGTTTTTTAATTATAGTGGGGTGGAGGATATTGCAAGGGCCGTGGGTGGCGCTGTGGGTTAAACCACAGAGCCTAGGACTTGCCGATCAGAAGGTCGGCGGTTTGAATCCCCGCAACGGGGTGAGCTCCTGTTGCTCGGTTCCTGCTCCTGCCAACCTAGCAGTTTGAAAGCATGTCAAAGTGCAAGTAGATAAATAGGTACCGCTCCGGCGGGAAGGTAAATGGCATTTCTGTGCGCTGGTCTGGTTCGCCAGAAGCAGCTTAGTCATGCCGGCCACATGACCCGGAAGCTGTACGCCGGCTCCCTCGGCCAATAAAGCGAGATGAGCACCGCAACCCCAGAGTTGGTCACGACTGGACCTAATGGTCAGGGGTCCCATTACCTTTACCTAGAGGATATTGCACAGTTGAGTAGGAGAAACATCTTGATGTGTATAAGCTAGGCACCCGAGGGCACCTTAAACCGAGAATGGGGCCTTCTCTGCAGTGGCTCCTTGTTTGTGGAATGCTCTCCCCGGGGAAGTTTGCCTGGCACCTTCATTATACACCTTTAGGCGCCAGGCAAAAATGTTCCTTTTTAACCAGGCCTTTGGTTGATCTGATTTACATCCTATGCCCTTTTAAAATATGGCTCTTTTTGGGGAGGGGTGTTATTGGGTTGTTGTTTTTCTTTTGATTATGTATTTTGTGGTTTTATATCTTGATTTTATTCTGTGAACCGCCCTGAGACCCCCCAGGTATAGGACAGTATAGAAATTCAATTAATAATAATAATAAACCGAGGTTACAGTCTCCACAACAGAATGTCTTCGCCTGGCACGTTGGATGAGATGATGTTCAGGGTCCCTTCCAAATCTGATTCTATGATCTCAGCTACGTTGTTTGGCTGTAGCCTGCTCTTACAACGCTTCACTTGTCCCACTATGCAAGAAGGATAAACACACACAGTGGAAATGGGAATGGAATAAACTATGCACTAAGATGAGCGCCGCAACCCCAGAGTCGGCCACGACTGGACCTAATGGTCAGGGGTCCCTTTACCTTTTTAAGGCCGTGGTACTCAAACTCTGGTCTGAGTTCTGTTTGGGTGGCTTGTGGAATGGCTGCAGCACAGTCAAATATACCTGTACCCAGCGCTGCACTTACTTTTCTTGATGGGATAATTGAGGACTAAGATGCCCAGCAAAGGGACCCATGATTCACATGAGTCAGCTGGCTCGATGGAGATGTCAGCCACCAACCTGGTGCCCAGAGATCTCCACGTAGTTGCATTTGGACCCGTGCCAGTAGCAAAAGGCACCAGGCGGCCTGGGGAGTTTCAAACAGCGGTTCAGAGCAGTTCAGTGGTGGGATCGGTTATCTGGGGTCTGAGGGTGTATGAGTGCTTGTAGTAAGTAAGTAAAAAAAAAATTTATACCCTGCCCTCCCAGGCCAAGACCGGGCTCAGGGCGGCTAACATCAAATATCAAATGCATTAAAACAAAATCAAACAATTGATTAAAATACAGCTTAAAAATTAGAATCAGGATAAAGTTAAATGACTGCCCACGAATTGCAACCATAGGGATCGGGAACCTCAAGTATTCATCCGGGCCAGCTATCCATGTTGGTCCCACATGAGCCAATAAAAGAGCCAAAGAGGTAACTTACAGGGGGGGGGGTGTCAAAGGCGAGGCAGAACAGCTCTGTCTTGCAGGCCCTGTGGAAGGATGTCAAGTCCCGCAGGGCGCTAGTCTCCTGAGATAGTGTTCTATCAGGCTGTGGCCAAAGCCGAAAAGGCCTTGGCCCTTGTTGAGGCCAGTTTAACCTCCTTGAGGCCCGGGACCGCCAATATATTATTATTTGAGGACCATAAGGTCCTCCGTGGGGCATACCAGGAGAGGTAGTCCCGTAAGTATGAGGGTCCTAGGCCATATAGGGCTTTAAAGGTTAAAATAGTGGTTCTCAACCTGTGGGTCCCCAGATGTTGTTGGACTACAACTCCCATCACCCCTAGCTAGCAAGGCCAGAGCTCAGGGATGATGGGAGTTGTAGTCGAACAACATCTGGGGACCCACAGGTTGAGAACTGCTGGGTTAAAACCTTGTAGGAGGTCTTCAGACAAAGGCTGGACTACTGGGGTGGTCTAGCTCGGATTTCCTCCAGTGAGTGGACAGTAGAGCTATTTATTTATATATATTGATTAAACATATACTTCATCCAAGGATCACAGGGCAGTTAACAGCATAAAAACACAAAAATACACACAACATAAAAGCAAACGAAGTCATAGGCTAGATGGCCTATGGCAGCATTCACCAATCTGCTGTCCTCATATAAACAGAGGAAGCTGCCTTATATATTGGTCTGTGTAGCTCTGCATCATTCCACTGGCTAGCAGTGGCCTTCCAGGGTTTCAGGTATACCTGTCTCTCCCAGCCCTACCTGGGTATGCCAGCGATTGAACCTGGGACCTGCCCCATAGGCCTTCCAGCTTCGCTGAAGGAAGCTGTCCCAAACGTCTGAAGGGCAGCTGATTGGTGAAGGCTGGTCTACAAGATTCCCTCCAGCTGTATATGACGACACCAGTTGCCTACCCATGAGAAGGCCAGTGGGATGATATTGGTGCTTTTGCAACTACCGCCACTTGTATCTCAGTAGCTGATGTTAGAGGGTTTCTTGGATTGGAGCTTTTGCACTTCCTTCCTTGGGGATAATTTTAAGACTCTCCCTTGTTTTTTCCAGAGGCTTTCTCACTGAGGAGCAGAACATGGAGTTGGTATTGATGAAAGCGTTTTTAGAAATAGACAAAGCGTACGCCAGGCATGCTCAGTTGTCCGCGGATGGTAAGTAAGAAGCTTGTTTCCGTTCAGCCGTAAAAGAAAGACAGGAGAAAAAGAAATTCATGTGGAAACCACTGTTTTTTCTATTGAAAGTTGAGGCTAGCAGTTGTAGAGAGAGAACGCCAAGTAAAATATAGAAGGACGTGCCTGTTTTTACAAGGTTAGCATGGCTTCATAAGCCTATGCTGCTTAAAATAATGTTAAAATAATTTGAAATGTTACCTTCAAGCAGATTTGTCCACAGCTGATTTTACACCGCGAGACTATACAGAAGTTTCTGTGTAACTCGGCGGGACTTAAGTTTTGAAAAGGTATGTTGAGCTGTTGAGCTAAAATGACTGGGATCTAGAAGGTTGCGATGAACAAAAAAGTCTTTCCATTCGTTGCCACTGGATAAAAAATCTCTGTGTTGATGCAGCAACCTCCACAATAACGGAGGTAATGTTGGCTAACGTCATTGGCATGGACTAAGCAATTTAAGGCTAGGCTATAGTCTTACTTAAAAGCAAGGGCCATTGATCTCCAGTACCTTCACATAATAGCGGTTGGATAGTGGGTGCCAATTCTGTGTTAAATGCAAGGGGCTATCCAACTTACTCAGGTTTTTAAATTCAGTGGAGACAGGCCTGCCCTGCAATGTTGTTGGCCTCATGTTATGGCTCAGGCTGTAGATAACTTGATGAAAATAAACACACATGCCAATGTGCTTTTCTGTCATCTTTTAATAACTGTCCCAAACACAACATCTAGCTTGATGGGTAGAACACATGTTTACATGTCGCAGCCCCTGGCTTTTCCCGTAAGGATGGGGAAGACTCCTGTCTGCCACCCTGGAGAGAGACTGCTGGCTTATAAGAAAATATTAAGATCAACCTTAGGTCTGATGTTCCAATACAGCTGCATAAGTTCATCCTTGGTGGCTCTTTGCATCCTGCTTTCTCATAAAATATAACATGCCTGCCAGCCCAATGCCTAATCTCGTTCTATTGCTAATGTATTGTTTAGTTTTACGTGGATTAATTATTATTGCTCACCAAATTAAATAGATACTTCCTGATGCAAAAAAATATACTAAATGTATATCTCACGTATATCACTAAAAGCAATCTTAATGAAAGCATTTGTTTGGCTTAGTATCCTTTCTTTCACATTTGGGTCGGTTCCATCTTTAGATGTACGTGTCTTTTGGATGGAGAACATCTTGCATAGCCAGCAAGGACACTTCTACAGATCTAGCCTACAATTCTGCCCATATTCTGTTGAGACTGAGCCCTTTGAACCCAATGTGACTTACTTATGAGAAAGTATGCTTGGGATTGGGCCGCATGGCTATGATAATAGAATTGTAGAGTTGGAAGGGACACTGAGGCCAACCCCTCGCAATGCAGGAATCTCAGCACGTGGTCTCTCATCCAGTTTGAAACCATACCGGACCCTGCTTAGCTTTGCAAATATACTAGCAGTTTTATTGCTGCCTATACATCAGTGATGGTGAACCTCTGGCCCACGGGGCCTAATTACACCTTGCAAGCAGTTTTGTTCAAACTGCCTACCTGCCCCAGAAGTTTAAAATATGTTCCTGGGCCGTCAATTTACAGATGCTTTATTACGATCAGACTTGTAGTTAATGCGCTGTTTGGGTAGTCTGAGTCTTGTTTTACAATGTTGATTTAGTAATGAGAGTATAGTTAGTAATAATAAAAAAAAAGGTGTGGTGTAATTTTTGTTTCCTCGTCTTAAGAAGTTGCCAATCAAAACCATGATTTTTAAATTCTTTAATATGTTAACCTGCAACACTGAAGAAGTGAAAGAGCTGCAGAAACATGCCTGTTTTTATGTTCAGATTTGTAATTGTGACACCAAACTTGGATGCATTTGCTACATTTATATACCAGGCCATTGCTCTGAAGTGAACAGGAATTATGCCTTGCATGTGTCCTACTCACCCTAGTGTGGCTGTGCAACTAAATTCCCAGGGAATTGTACTTATAGTCTACTGGAGATGGTGGTCTTTTAATGTTAAAATTGGTTGGAGCACAACAGCCGCAGTGCCCTTTAAAGTATCCATCTTTGCCTAATGCAAATGGTTGGGACTTTTGGACAAATAACAGCTAGGCAAATGCGTAAGTGGGTTTTACTCAGTTAAAAACTAGAAAAACAAACCCACCCCGGTATTTCCCCCCTCCCTGGTGATTGATTATATTTGCCCAGGTCAGATGTGCACAGTGCAACTAATAAAACCACTTATTTGGCCAGTCCCCTTATAAAATGTTCCTTTTAAATGCCTTTTTAGAGCTGTGCAATTCCAAACTTCATAATCCCTCGCCGAGTGTTTGAACAGCAGGAGGTGTGCAGATGGATTGGCTTAGTAACCAAGCCATGGTTGCTATCAGAGACGGATGCGTAATAAAATTGGGTGCAATAATATACCCCCATAGCATTTCTAAGCCGAGCCCTTGAGTTAAGAGGGAATGCTTTGCTCTCTTTTGCAGCTCTGATCATCCCAAGTGTTGCATGTTTCCTCTCTTTACTTTGAGCAAAATTCCTGGGTGAATTTCCTATTTGCCTCTGTGTACATGTTATTTATGGCAGACACTGTACCTGACCAACAGCTCTAGAATTGGAGGCCCGGGACTCTATGCTGGGCTTCAGTGGAAAGAGAGATCTGCTTAATGTGGTCCCAGGTGAAGGAGTCTGGCGGGTTCCTAGCCGGGACCAACGGAAGGTTCCCACAACCACTTTGTCACATTAGTTGTGACGACATGCTCTAAAAGGTGCCCAGTGAGTGTTAAGATACCTCTTGAAAGATTTTAGATGATAATATTTCTGTAGTAATATAATTTCTGTAGCTGTCTAGGAAGCAAACAATTTTTTCTTTTGTTTTAAAATAAGTTAATTAACTTGTGTTCTGAGCCAATGTGTTTTTATGCTGCTAGATATCTTTGGAATAAATGGTGGCAAACGGCTAGTGACTTTATGAATAGTGTGATTCCTTGATTTTGGAACTGCAGTACCGCTTGCGGAACAAATCCACCTATTTGCATTTATTTTCCTTTTTACATTCTCTCATCATTCCAGTGAAACTTGGAAAGGACTCCTGTACAAACTTCAGTAGATACGAATGCATTGCCCAGCTTGTGGCATTTAGGCAGAGGTGGGCAACCTGTGGCCATCAGTGATGTCTGACTCAAATTTTTGTTCTTCCCAGGAAACATGGCTAATGGTCAGGGATGATGGGAGTTGTGGTCTGGCATCATCTGATCCTAATGGCCCTTCCCATTATATACATTATACTTTTAAAGCACATTCAAAACAGGTTCTTTCCCTCAAAGAATTCTGGGTACTGTAGTTTTCCACGTGCAGAGTTAGTTCCCAGCAACCCTTGACAAACCACAGTGCCCAGAATTCTTTGAGGGAACGAATATGCTTTGAAGGTATGGGGTGTACACAGCTTAGTCCACTCATTGTTTTGATCACTGTCCTCTGGACAGTTCGTCAACGTCCGCCTTAAAATGTGGCACCCACAACTGGGCATGGTACTCCTGGAAGCAAAGCTTAGGAACAAAAAAAATAGGGCTTCCCACAAAGTTTCACTATTTATTTAGGAAGTGGAAGAGAACGTTAAATTGAGGGCTGTGTTAGTTCTTAGTGCTGAGTAGCTCAGGCTTTTAGGATCTACCTATCCAACAGGATAAGAGGTCAATTACTTTAACTCCTTTTGCAGAGGCTATCTTGGAAGTTAGGGACGTGGGTGGCGCTGTGGGTTAAAGCCTCAGCGCCTAGGACTTGCCGATCAAAAGGTCGGCGGTTCGAATCCCCGCGGCGGGGTGCGCTCCCGTCGTTCAGTCCCAGCGCCTGCCAACCTAGCAGTTCGAAAGCACCCCCGGGTGCAAGTAGATAAATAGGGACCGCTTACCAGTGGGAAGGTAAACGGCGTTTCCGTGTGCTGTGCTGGCTTTCCAGATGCAGCTTGTCACGCTGGCCACGTGACCCGGAAGTGTCTGCGGACAGCGCTGGCTCCCGGCCTATAGAGTGAGATGAGCGCACAACCCTAGAGTCTGGCAAGACTGGCCCGTACGGGCAGGGGTACCTTTACCTTTTACCTTTATCTTGGAAGTTACTGTGCGCTCACTCCTGAGTGCTTTTAGTTATGACCCTGGGATTCGCTGCAACACCCTCAGACATTGGATGTGTGCGTACACACAAATCTCAGTGTCGTATTTGGAGAAGGGCTGTAGATTGCTAACCCCAAAAAGCCATGTTGTCAGGCTCTTAACACTGCAAGAGGAGCAAAGCTGTGCCTCTTTTCTGGTTTTGGGTGGCAAGATCACGCCAGCCTCTTACTACGGGGTTTCAGGGAAGGCGTTGCCTTTTAGAACAGTGATGCTAAGGTAACGTTTGGTTACAGATGCACATCCCAAAATGTGCAACTTAACTTTCCTTAATTTTATGGGTGTGAAAATAAAAGAAAATAGCAATGTCTGATAATTCCCATCCCAAACGAAGTCCGAAACTATCCTGGCGTTTGTGGTTTCCGAGAGCGGAAAAACAAACCCACTGATTCAAGATGTCCTGCCACTGTACATATGTATCTGATGTCTTGGGGTGATTCCAGACAGGGGTTCATTATGGGATGGGTGCTCTGATTCATGAGGTTTTCCACAGCATTCACCTGACGTCATTGCCATCAGACAGCTGCCAGCCCAGCCTGCATCCCCCCCAAAAAACCCCTTTAATCTGGGTTCGCCCTTTTTCAAGGAAATCCTACAAGTTAAAGAAAAAAGGCCTGTTGCAAACACCCCCCCTGAACTCGATGGCCCCTTTGTCATATTAAACCCAAATCTAGAAGCACCCATAATAGTCTCTTCCTGAAGTGGCTCTGCAGTTCGAAAAGCAAGGAATTGGGGCGAGGGAGGTGGGGGAACTAGAGGTGGCCTTCAAAATTTAGAGGGGAGTTGGGAAAGAAGGCAAAAATTAGCTCAACCTTTTACGCCTTGCTGTGCTTTATTCATATTGCTACTTAAAACAGGTATCTTACGAGCAATGCTAAAAAGTGTGGTTTGCCCCTCTCCATTTCATGTGTAGTGCTTCTCCTTATTTAAGCACCTGCTTTGGAGTGTGCAGGCGGACCTAGAAGTAAGACGCACACCCAAGTCCATGAGGTGTACTTCCAAAACACAAATAATACCAGGCTGAATGTGCTGTAATGTCGTGGCCATATTCAGCTTTCTGTGGTTAGAGGGTTGGACTTAAGGCATGAGACCAGGGACTTGGCTATACAGCTGCAAATGCAACATTTTAAGTGCATTTTATTTGCATTATACAAATTTGACACTACATGGTGATGGTGAGCTTATGGCAAATTCAAAAAGCATTTTTATATGTGTCTGGATTCCACCCAGGGCTCAAATCCGCACTCATCTATTAAGCTCCCTGGGTGACCTCAGGCCAGTCACTCGCTTTCAGCCTGACCTACCTCACAGGGTTCTTGGGGGGATAAAATGGGGAGGAAGAGAAGCCACGTATATCGCCTTGAACTCTTTGGAGTAAAGGTGGGATATGAATGCAAGAAAATAAATACATTTCCTAATGATACAAAACATCCAAGAAGAGATGGGAGGAAGGGGAGAAATTATTCCATCAAAAATTGTTGGGCAACCTTACAAAGGCAGTTTTTAACAGCTGGTCAGCAAGCTCTTTGCAGTAAGAATACCTGTTTTAATTCATGGTAGTATTGCCTAGTTTAGATTCCTCTTCTGTTGCTGTCCTTTTGTTTTCCTATCTGTAACATCTCCATTCTGTGGTGCTTCCACTTCACAACAAGGCTTGATGCTGTTCTCCCCCCGCCCATCAGGTGTTCAGTTCGCCTTTATAATTATTATTTTATTATTTATTGTTTTATTTTATAATGCATGTCGCCCTTTCATCCGTAGATCTCAGGGTGGTTCACAACAAAGAAATACAGTATAAAAACACTTTAAGTTTGTGATAAAAACAAGAACAGAAATACACGAACCAGTAACTCTCCTCTCCCCCTTATTAAAAGATTGCTGTAGATTCTCTTAGCATTTCAGTTCAGGGGCAAAACTAGGCATAACTCAGGACCTGGCGCCAGTGTTAGGAATTCGGTTCTATAAGTTGGGCGCCATATGGGTCCATAAACCAGGGTCACACTCACCCAACGGAATGCATGGCTGCCATTTTGGGACCAGGTGGCTTGAAAGCCCTATTTTCCAGTATGGCTTTTTGGTTCCTGAAATTCATTCTGATAAAACAGAACGGATAGTGGCAGATAGCCAGGTGCGAAATGCGCCTGGTGAATTTCGAACGCTGACCTGGCCTGATCCCCTTCCCTGAAAGGCTTGTCATACCTTTCACAACTGGCTTAGTTCTCCTGTATCCTGTTTCCCAAAAAGGAAACTGATCCAACACCAAGCAGCTTCGCTACTGAGGACCCGGGAGTAAGGAAGAAGACTTTCCCATTACTTGTAGAACTTCAGCACCCGTAAAGCACATGCCAGTTTAATTAAACTACTTCAGAAAGCTACTGTGTAAGGGCATTTGTTTAAGGCTCTGTAAAGGTAAAGGGACCCCTGACCATTAGGTCCAGTCGTGGTCGACTCTGGGGTTGCGGCTCTCATCTCGCTTTACTGTCCAAGGGAGCCGGCGTACAGCTTCTGGGTCATGCGGCCAGCATGACTAAGCCGCTTCTGGCGAACCAGAGCAGCACACGGAAACGCCGTTTACCTCCCTGCTGGAGCAGTACCTGTTTATCTACTTGCACTGGTGTGCTTTTGAACTGCTAGGTTGGCAGGAGCAGGGACCGAGCAACCGAAGCTCACCCCGCTGCGGGGATTTGAACCGCCAACCTTCTGATCAGCAAGCCCTAGGCTCTGTGGTTTAACCCACAGCGCCACCCGCGTCCCTTTTAAGGCTCTGTAGCTGCACCTGTTTTACTAGTACGAGAATAGACGAGAACTCGCCACAGACTTCACCCAGCCCAAGCACCAACATGCCACATTTTCTCCCCGTTGCATGGAGTCTTGTTGTCAAAACGTTGCTGCTTTGTGTGCATGCCCCCACGCTGCTTGTTTCCTGTCTTTGTAGCTTTAGCTATGCAGCAGTGACTCTTTACGGGTGGTTAAAGTTTTTTTAAGTTGAGTGGCAGCTTCGTGTGTAGTGCTCAGGCCTTGACCGCCTCTCCTTGCATGACGTTTTGTAGCCACCTTGCTGAACGCCGGGACCACGGCGACAGTGGCCTTGTTGCGTGATGGGATTGAGCTGGTTGTGGCCAGTGTTGGAGACAGCCGCGCCCTTCTGTGTCGCAAGGGGAAAGCCATGAAACTGACCATCGACCACACTCCGGAAAGGAAGGATGAGAAGGAAAGGTACTTTGCCAGAAACCTTGGGCTGGAGTTGTTGGTTTTTTTGGGGGGTGTGTGTGTAAAATTTGTATCCCTTGCAAAGACTGCTAAGGAATGAAAACAAGTGGCTGTGGGCAAATAATAATAATAATAATAATAATAAATAATAATAATAAATAATAATATAATTTATTATTTGTATGCCGCCCATCTGGCTAGGTTTCCCCAGCCACTCTGGGCGGCATCCACAAAGACCAAAAATACACTAAGCTCTTTCACAGCAAAGCTGTGGTTGGCGTCGCTTGCATAAATCGGCCGTGCTAATTGCTTGGATATGTACGACCATAGTGAACGTTCCATCCTCTCTTCCTTTCCTACTTTGTGTGTTTGCGCATGCGAAGAATCAAGAAAACCGGTGGTTTCATAGTCTGGAACAGCCTGGGACAGCCCCACGTAAACGGCAGGCTTGCAATGACCCGCAGCATAGGAGATTTGGACCTTAAGAAATACGGTGTCATAGCAGAACCAGAGACAAAACGGGTTCAGGTAAGAGGCCGAGCATCTTCCTTTTCTACACCCTGACCTCATTTTCTTGTAAAGATGGCACAGCACTAAATAGCTGGCACTGCTACCATTCCTTAGAAGTGTTTTCCACTATCACTGCTTTTTCAGACTGTGGTACCCAGGCAGACCCTGCTATAGCCTGGTCTATACAGTATTTGGACCTGGGGGCAGGGGGGTCCTGCCTAATTTATTTTTTTCAACAAAGCATTTGTGCATTGGATAGCATGCAGAATGCGTGTGGCAATGAAGCCACTTTTGCAGAGTTGCCAAGTGCCAGGGAGATGCATATTTGGGTATTTGCCTATGGATCTCAGAATCTTTTCTTCCCTTGAGGCCCAGCTGGCTTTGAGAGGGAGGTGGGAGAGCCACTACTGATGTCTGTTCCTGGCCAGTATTACTCACTTTGCCTTATAGGGTTAATGAGGGTGAGCCAGAGAGAGAGAAAAAAAGATCGGAATGCTACCTAGGTTAAAAGTATTTGCCCTCCCTCTAATGGTTAACTCGGCAGGTGAGGGCCAGCAGGATTGTAGCGTAACTGGGGCCGCTAAGAAGGAAGCTCAAAATTTTGCAGTAGTACAGTGGTATCTCGGGTTACAGACGCTTCAGGTTACAGACGCTTCAGGTTACAGACTCCGCTAACCCAGAAATAGTACCTCGGGTTAAGAACTTTGCTTCAGGATGAGAACAGAAATTGCGTGGCGGCAGCGGGAGGCCCCACTAGCTAAAGTGGTACCTCAGGTTAAGAACAATTTCAGGTTAAGAACAGACCACCAGAACAAATTAAGTTCTTAACCCGAGGTAAGGTAAAGGGAGCCCTGACCATTAGGTCCAGTCGTGACCGATTCTGGGGTTGCGGCGCTCATCTCGCTTTATTGGCCGAGGGAGCTGGCATACAGCTTCCAGGTCATGTGGCCAGCATGACAAAGCCGCTTCTGGCGAACCAGAGCAGCGCACGGAAACGCTGTTTACCTTTCCACTGGAGTGGTACCTATTTATCTACTTGCACTTTGACGTGCTTTCGAACTGCTAGGTTGGCAGGAGTAGGGACCGAGCAATGGGAGCTCACCCCGTCACAGGGATTCGAACCGCTGACCTTCTGATCGGCAAGTCCTAGGCTCTGTGGTTTAACCCACGGCGCCACCCGCGTCCTAACCCGAGGTACCACTGTATAAAAAATATACTAGATGCCCTCATCCCAAAACATAATAGCCCTATGAAGACTGAACATGGTTGGCCACAGAATGCAAAGTGTGGGTTTTTTTGGGGGGAGGGGTAATATAAAACTAGAAGGAAGAGTAATGAAATTGAGGTTCATGTAAAGAGGGGGCTGATGGAACTCTGAAGAGGACCACACCGCACTGCAACACTTTGTTGCAGCTCTCACTTGTGGAATAGGTATGTTTACGTTTGTATCACTACTGAAATCTGGGCATTTGGTATACTTTTGTTTGTGTGGCGTGTCATTTCAGTTGCACCATGCGAGCGACAGCTTCCTGGTCCTTACCACAGACGGCATCAACTTCATGGTGAACAGCCAAGAAATCTGTGACTTTGTTAGCCAGTGTCACGATCCCACGGAAGCGGCTCACCTTGTAACTGAGCAGGTAGGCGTTTCTGCCTTTCCAACACAGAAAAAAACACCACCACTGTCCAGTTTTGAGCAAAGCCAGTTAAGTCCGCTTGATTCTTTTGGGGTGGAAAACCTCCTACAAACCAGTGATGAGACAAGCCCAGTTTGTTAAAAGTATATGGCGGTTGTTTTCCTGCAAGGAAAATTTCCCATTCGATTTTATTGTCTTCAGCAGCTAATTGGAAGTTGCTGGTGTAGCTCAGATACAGCACTTTCCTTTCAGTTGTGCCCTTGCTCAAGGACAGCAGGGGCCCATATTCTTGCTTCACTGTCAGATATAAAGAGTTGCTTTTGGAAAGCAGATGCTGAAAAAGTCAACAGAACTGCTGCTGCAACTGTTTACCTGCTAGGAACGGTTCTCTTACTCAAACCGAGAAGATACTAATTTTGAACAACGCAGGCAGTCAACGGATGACTACCATATCTAGTCAGCTGGAATCCAAAAAATAAATCCATACACTACAGTCTGCATTGTTTTATTTCCCCCCAAAATCTGAAGATCACTGTTCCCCACATTTATTGATAGCGTAACTTAGGAGTAATTGATGTGGGGCTCCCTTGGATGCTATTGGACTCCAGCTCCCATCAGCCCTAGCCAGCATTGCCAATGGTCAGAGGTTGTAGGAACTGCAGCTGTGTTAAGCTAGGTATACAATGTGGTGGCATCCAGCTGATGATGAACAAAATTGTATTTTATTTTATTTTACCATTATGATTGTTATTAAACAGTATCCACCCCGTGTTAAAACTTCTGTGGGCTATTCTCTCTGCTCCCACACCACCCTGTGATGCTATTGCCCCATGTTGAAATTCACAAACTTCTAAAAAGGTCCAACATGCAGAAATGTGCAGAGTGGCTGGAATTTGTGGGTAGCTTTTGTATCAACACCCTTCTCAATCCGTTCCTGTTTATTAATAGTCACAGACTTCAGTTTCTAGAAAGTATGTACTGATAACAAGATTAGGTTCAGATCCTGATTTTAGTAGTTTGTAAAACAGACCACGTCAGCGCAACGTATTTTATGGATTGTCCAGTTTGACTGATCCATCTAAGTCCATTTTATTTCTCTCCTGCTCGTCATTCACAATTGGGAAACCTGTGTATATATGCATACATTTCCTCTTTTGACAGAAGTGGATAAAGTTTGAAGGCGGGGTAAGCCCTCCAGTGTAGGCAAAGTCTGCCAAATCACAGGCAATGAAGTCCACTTGCTTTTGCGCCTTTGGGAGGTGCTTGGAATGGGAGTCTATAATGTAGCCACAATTTTGGGGGTGGGACTTCCCTTGAATTTGAATTATCTGGGGAATACATTAGATGCTTGTGGACACCAGTTCCCACCAGCCTCAGGCAACATGGCCAACGATTGGGGTGATGGGAATTGTATTCCAGAAACATTGGGCAGGTCACAGTTCCCCCCCCCCATCCCTGATTTTGGTAAGATTTCAAAACTCCAGATTGCCTGCATCAATTCTTAGTTGAAAGAAAACAGCCGAACAGAGTGAAGGGCTAAAGCTTTGTGCCTTTTGCAATCTCTCCCTCAGGCCATACAGTATGGAACGGAAGATAACAGCACTGCCATTGTCGTGCCGTTTGGAGCCTGGGGCAAATACAAGAACTCTGAGGTCAACTTCTCATTCAGCCGGAGCTTCACCTCGAGCGGGAGATGGGCCTGAGTCGCTGCTGCTGCTACGAGGAGATGTGGACTGGACTGTCCTGTAGGAGGCCTCGCAAGGCAGAGAGCAGATCTGTAGATAGTTGCGCCCATCTCTTTTCTCTCCCAGCACCTTGTGCTTTCTGCCAGGGTAGAAAACCATCGTTAACTTGATGTTGCCTCTTTAACAAACACGTCTGCTACTGCTTAATCTCAGAGCCAGCGATTTCCGCCCCCTCCGTCCAACGTAGATAATTCTGTCTGGTTCTTTGGCACAAACAAGATGTGCACCTGGCTGACACACCCTCTCAAGGGGTTTTTAACCAAGTGTTTCTTATGCACAGCGTATGTTTTTAGAGGATGAGAGAGAGAGAGAGCGAAGAGGCCAAAGGGGCTCTCTTGATTTGCACAGTGCGAAAGGGAGTAAGCGCACAAGGAGAGAAAAGGTGGCATTTCATCTTCTCCGCTCTCACAAGTCTTTCCTTCCCTATTTGAACAGAAGTAAGAGAAAGCCAGGAGATTCAGAGGCAGTGTGGCTGGCTGTGCTTGGCTTTGCTCAGCCTGCTGGCACCAGGTTAACCACCAAAGCTGACTTTGGTTTTGGTTAGTCCAGTTCCGGAGAGAAAGGGATCTTGGTCTCGGGGCTAAGACTCCGTGCAGTGGAAGTCAAACAGCAAATATCAGCTGTGTGTATGTGTGTAAGGTCCTGTCCTTAAGTCCAATTTCTCATAAGCAGAATGTGGCTTTTACACTTGGGCTGAAGCCCATGTCTATTCCTCTGTCTGTGGGTTTATAATTGGAGAACCACGCCATAACCCTCAAGGCAGAAGTGGACACAACACTAACAGGGATTGTGGCAATCATCACATTTCTTCCGAAAGGCGGAAGCAATGTAGGTTTTCTGTATTTATTTGTTTTTTCTTTAAATATACCAATTCTAAGAAATCCCCCTTAAAAAAAAAATACTGCTTTTCAGGAGCTAAACTCTTTCAAAGAACATCTTGTTCTTCAGTTCTTTTTTAGATGTTGCTTCTCTTTCAGAGCCACTGAAAAATGCTGTCCGAGACGCACAGAGTTAACTTGGATGGGGACATGTTGCCCAGTGGGTATTCAGTGTTCAATTGCACAACGGTTGAAGTTCCTAAGGGATTTCTCTCCCTCTTCCCAAGTTAGCAAAAAGTTGAGGATACACTTTGGAAGGGAGATTTTTGTAAGGGAAACGGGTAGGATTGTATTTGGACTTGCCACTTGTCTTAATCAGAATTTCACATTAGAAGCAAATGGTGGAGGGAACAAAAGGTTTAAATGAGGTAAATAGAGTTTCTCCAGGAAATTCTACACTCCCCCACTTCAAATGCAACACGGAGGAACCAAGGGAACAATCAGCATTCCTTGGCAGGACTTCAACAGGTTGCATGTAATCGAGAAATTCCACAGGCCAAGAATATGATCCAGAGTGTTGTGTCACAGAGACCATTCACACCTGGATAGCCAACGTGGCAGCTGCAGGTATTGTGGACTGCAGATCCCATAGTCCTGACAATTGGCCATGCTGGCTGGGACTGCTGGAAGATGGAGCCCCAGAACACCTGGTATATACTGTCGGTACTAGAGGCTGTCAACAATAGTTCTTCATTTCTGACATAGATACTTTGAACATGAATACTTGGAATTGAAAACGGCCACCCCAAAGCAGTAAGAGTTGTTTCACAGTGGGACGTTCTCCCTGGAAAGGTGGTGGACCTTCATTGAAGGTTTTCAAGCAGGGGTTGTATGGGCCTTCAGACATGGGTGCTTTAGTTGAGATTCCTGCATTGCAGGGGTTTGGACTATAGATGACCCACAAGGTCCCTTCCAACTCTACACTTCTGTGATTCTATGAAAACCCAGAATTAAGCCGCTATAAAGTTACCTGGCACTGAGGTGTAGCTGTGCTGAGCTCTTTTAGCTGAACCCTGATCGCAATGTGAACCCGTGGACTTGCTGCTTGATGCCAGTACTAATTAGAGCCACACCTTTTGCATAAGTCATTCCAGTTTCACTTCTGCACAGCTGTTCATAAAGCTTCCTTTGGCCATGCACCTGCTGAAAACCACAAAGTACTTTGGAAACGGTGCCCTGGGTCCTGTTCTGGTGTTATCTTGTGTGTATTCTACATGTTTGTATATATGATATATAGAGAGAAATGATATATCTACTTTATAAGTAAAAGAATATGTTAAAAAATATTTGCATCCAGTGCTGTTTCGCTTAGTCGCTGCAACGGCACATATGAAAACGGTTTCCCTCTTTGCTGCTTCCCAGATTGTTGGGACCTGGGCTGAGAAAGGGCTAAAGTGTATGTCCCTATAGAGTCAGGGTGATGCATTATCCCATGTGAGGAGAACATTGACCTCTTTTTCAGCTGGGGTGTGCTGCCCTTGGATATCTTGTTGTATAAAAACGAACAACCTTTTTGTGCGCGTCCAATTGATGTACAGCCGCTGAAGCGTGGGTCATTTGGGATCCGGAAGGGTGGGCTCATGCTCACTCCATCGACACGCACGGGGGCCAGGAACAGAGAGCCCCCCCCCAAATGGTCACTGCCTGTCTCCAAATTCTGTGGCATAGTGTTAATCGGATGACCCCTCATTGGCTGGGATTGTTCCATTAGCTCAAAGGCTGCATTAGAAGAAGCATTTGTCACAGTCCTAACAAAGCTTCTGCCACCAGCACTTAGTCTTCTAGCCCACTAATGTGTTCCAACACAACAAACAAACCTATGGTCACGTAAAGCATACTCAATAAACACACAAGACGTAACTGGCTATGTTCTTAGATGAATAAGGTATACTATTCATTGTATCAAATCATAAAATTCAACAAATGAACAAAGCAGAAGACTCAGAAGATCAGATCATTCTCTAGTCAGTTCATGCATAAGGTCCATCCGTGTAATAGTGTCTATTCCACCTGTGTTCATAAGGCCCAAACAATCCACATGAAAGGTTGTTACAGTTCCACAGAATCCTTTCGCAGAGTCTAAAGACAAGGATTTCCGGAATATTGACCTTGTTTCGCCATCCTGGGCTTCATCAATAGTTAAAGCTCTAAGTAATACAAATAAATACAATATCGTGCTCTCACACATTTTTCAGCAAAAGTAATATAAAACCATAAATAACTGTACATACCATATGTATATTACAGGACGGTGGATCTTATGGCATAGTAGTAGCTGCGGTAAGCAGCAGCTGTTACAAAGTAGGGTTATATGGACAAGCACAATATTGATTTACAGATGTTGGCAATCCACAGATACAGAATATCTTAAAGTGACCCATATGGCACAGCAAAAGTAAAACAAAATCCATGTTCAGATGTTATACATACAAACATTAATACACACTCATACATTAATGTAAACAATTTTTGGATCTAAAGTAATAGCAATCCACAAATGCACAATTTTGTACTCAAAATTTGAGACAATGAATAGTATACCTTATTTATCTAAGAACACAGCCGGTTACGTCTTGTGTGTTTATTGATGATTCACTAATGTGTACCGGCATGTCATGGAATAAATGCAACCATTTCATTTCCCAAACTGCTTGCGCAGAAATAACCACCAGTGGCTACCTGCAGAGAGGCATTGACCATGCTGTATGCAAACTGCGCCCCAGGCCTTGTTTTTGTTGGCTGAAAATGCCTTTTCTTTCATTGCGTGCCGGAAGAACTTTGCCTGTATTTTGCACAAAACTTGGAGCTTTGGTATGCGAATGGGTGGTTGATTTGGTTACAAGGGATTTGATCAAACTAAATGTTGGCAGTGAGGAGCAAACTTAAAGTTTTCAACCAAACTGAATTAATAGGTGCTAGTTTTTAGGGTGGGTGAGTGGGTTTCTGAGACTGGGGATGGGGGAAGTTCAGTTGCTTTTGATATTACTAAACCATAGATCCTTTTATCACGTTGCTGAATGTACTGGAGAGAGGGAGACCCTCTCCTGGGGTGTCAAAGTTGGAGGTTGCAATGCCTCCCCAAAGGTGAGATGACAATGTAAGGAAATTCCTGGATATGTAGAGTGTGAATTGGCAGCTTCATGCATCGTAACTGACTTGTTGGAAGTACTGAAGTGCACTTGTGTAAATTGTGTTGCGTACTTTTTGCCTTGGCGAGAATGTAGATATTTGAATGTTGATTGTTCAGGTTCTTGGGGGGGGCATGCAGACTTGTTGGGTGGTCCAAATGCAGGCTCCCCCCTGCTGCATTTTTGCAGAGGCTGTTGGCATACCATGGTTAACTGTTTCCATGCTGGGGCTTAATGAGAAACGCAGCGACCTCCTAGCTCTCTGTCAGGAATGTCTGCCGAAGGCAACACCATGGTCTGCTAGCACGTATGTTTAAAACAGCAGCAGCAGTGAGTACGATAATTAAAGTTTCGTAATGGTCGCTGTGATTGGATGTGGACATTTCTATTGTGGATTCTGTGGCCCAGCTGCTGCATCATTTTAAACAGTTGCTTTGTTTAAAAAAAATATGTGGAAGCAGGTTGGAGACGGAAGAGTATTTTAATAAACAGCTTGCTCCTAAGGACAATTGCCTCCTCTCTTTTTCTTCACCTGCATGTCCTTTGATTCGAATTACAAGGAATGGTAGGATTATTATTTTTTGTATTTTTTGTTAGATTTTCCGTCATAGAATTTAATTAAAAAAGATAAAAAATACACAACAGAAAACAAACATTAAATCATTATACATTAAATCATTATACAATATCCAAAAAGAAAAAAGAAAAAACATAAACAAAATAAAATAAACCCACCACCCTGTTTAACTTCCCTCCACCACTACTCGTCTTATCAAAAATCAGTTTTACCCTTCTCATTGCATTCTTATTGTTTTTATTTTCTCTCTATATATACATATGTCATTGATAATTTATTGTTTTGATGCATTTACATTCTTAATTTAAGCATATTAAGGTAAAGGTAAAGGTACCCCTGCCCGTACGGGCCAGTCTTGACAGACTCTAGGGTTGTGCGCCCATCTCAATTAAGAGGCTGGGGGCCAGCGCTGTCCGGAGACACTTCCGGGTCACGTGGCCAGCGTGACAAAGCTGCATCTGGCGAGCCAGCGCAGCACACGGAAACGCCGTTTACCTTCCCACCAGTAAGCGGTCCCTATTTATCTACTTGCACCCGGGGGTGCTTTCGAACTGCTAGGTTGGCAGGCGCTGGGACCGAACAACGGGAGCGCACCCCGCCGCGGGGATTCGAACCGCCGACCTTTTGATCGGCAAGCCCTAGGCGCTGAGGCTTTTACCCACAGCGCCACCCGCGTCCCATAATTTAAGCATATTGGCATGTCTTTTTTAGAGCAATATTTTGTCATACAATCATCAAAGCATTGCGAGGAATGGTAGGATTTTTCTGGGGCTTTGCTCTCTGGTAGTTGGGCTGGTGTGTCCATTGGACCTTTCAGGGAAAGACAAACAGCCTACGCAAGTTCCCGGAGAATGTATTCACATGTCTTTTTAGGGTGCCAAGCAATGGGTGTTAGGCACAGTTGGTTGTGGGTTCTTGTAGGCCTTGGGCTACTTTCCCTTCTAGCTGTCAGAATGGACGACATCCCTGTGTAATGGAAGCTAATAATGTCATGTAGGACAGTATGAGCCAGTTTCATTCCTAGGGTACTTGTGTGCTTGGAATAAAGCTCTTGAGGGCCTCATTGTGATGCTGAGTGGAAGATTTCCCAAATATTCAGCCCGATCTTTTATTTCCCTTCTCTTCCCTCCCTCTCCCCTTTTATGAAGATTACCCACTCTGAGACCCCACAGCTAATTCTCCCCTGGCCTCGCTGGCCCAAGTCGGACTAATTCAGCCAGCTAGCCCTGGTGATTATCTAATGCTTATTAGATGGATTTCCCCTGAATTGATTTCTGAACTTTCAATTTTATTGCTATTCATGTTTTTATACTGCATTTTATGCTGCTTTTACAATTAAGTGTTTTAAATTTTTTGTTAGCCACCCTGAGCCTGGTTTTTGAACCGGGAAGGGTGGGATATAAACACAATTTATTATTATTATTATTATTATTATTATTATTATTATTATTATTATTTTGTTGTTGTTGTTGTTGTTGTTGTTGTTGTTGTTGTTGTTATATAGGGAGGGTGCCATATCTTAGTTGTGGAGCATGCAGAAATCTCCAGTTAAAAAAGATCGGTGGAATCGGCCCCTTGCCTGAAGTCTTCATGATCTGCTTGGGAGATTTATAGAAAATTCTGGACTTTTGTTTATTAGATTTATAATCATAAGGTCTCAGGGTGGTTCACGGAATAAAATACAGGATAAAAACAAGTAAATGAGTAGAACAAAACAGCAAAACAGTAACCCCTCACCCTTCCCACAGACACATTTAAAATGCTGTATAATATTAATCAGTCCAAGTCCTGGCTGAAGAGGAACATTTTCGCCTGGCTCCTAAAAATATATAATGAAGGCACCAGGTGAATCTCCCTGGGGAGAGCATTCCACAAAAAAGGAGCCACTACAGGAAAACGGCCTGTTCTCGTGTTGCCACCCTCTGGACCTCAGATAGAGGAGACACACAAAGAAGGGCCTCAGAGGATGAGGACAATTTATATGGGGAGAGGCAGCCCTTCAGGCTAGGTTGACAAGTCAAACGATTGGCTCAAGTCTGGTTCCTATGACATTAGATAAAGGTAAAGGGACCCCTGACCATTAGGTCCAGTCATGGCCGACTCTGGGGTTGCGGTGCTCATCTCGCTTTATTGGCCGAGGGGCCGGCGTACAGCTTCCGGGTCATGTGGCCAGCATGACTAAGCCGCTTCTGGCGAACCAGAGCAGCACACGGAAATGCCGTTTACCTTCCCGCTGGAGCGGTACCTATTTTCTACTTGCACTTTGATGTGCTTTCGAACTGCTAGGTTGGCAGGAGCAGGGACTGAGCAATGGGAGCTCACCCTGTTGCGGGGATTCGAACTGCCGACCTTCTGCTCGGCAAGCCCTAGGCTCTGTGGTTTAACCTCTGTGGTTTAACCCACAGCGCCACCCATGTCCCATGACATTGGATACCTTTTGAGTAAATCATGTGTGTCTTCAGTTAACAAATCCTTTTGGGAAAGTCTGGCAGAGCTGTGCAAGTTTCAGGCTGCAGGAGAAGAGAAGACAGAATATGCTTGCAGTCTTTTAGGCAAGAGGATCCATTACCTAGAGGGATGG